TAGGGTGACCTGGGGGGCAATTGCCTCCCTGCCCCCCGGCCCAGCCCGCCCCTGTCTCTGGGGCTCCGTTGGTGGCAAGTGCTGATGTCTGCTGCAGCTCCAATGCATATAGGGACCTTTTCCTCCTTGTCACAGCATTCAGAAGTGGATCGGAGGAAGGGAGGCCAGGTATGTGTGTGGGCCGTGGCACATTGATATGCGGCAGGCGCCATCTTGACTTAGGCCCGCGCACAAGTGTTTTTTATTTTTTAACCTTTGCAGTGACATTCCGTGTATAAGACGACCCCCAATTTTAGACTAACAATTTTTAGAAAAAAACAGTCTTATACATGGAAAAATACGTTAATTAAATTCACACAGATCATGCCCTTTTGTAGCATTTTCCAGCAGATAACCGGAGTATCATTACAGGTGGTGGAACACGGATCGTTAGATTGTGGGAAGGTAAGTGTGTTTTATTCTTAACTACACTACGCAGCTCGATGAGCACTTCAAAGACACAAAGTACTCTCCCTCTCTTATTTAAATTATTTCCACCTTCCTGTTGTGTAGTGATTTGTGGTATTGACATTTTGAGCTCTCTCCTCAACCACCCCCTCCTACTTGTTATTTATACACAAGTTATAAAGCGAGATCACAGAGGATTAAAAAGTTCCAAATATTAGCAGGCGAATATATAGATCAAGGACATTTTGTGACAAACCTTGTCTGTAAAGGAAAAACTGTGACGAGGTTTTCACTCTGTTACTTGTGGGTTTATCTAAATATAACAGTTAAGATAGTTCTTAAAGTGCAGGTCTTATAGTGTTAGTGAACTTGTGTGTATCATGACCGATGCAAAGAGCTTGCGTTCTGGTGCTTCTGGTCAGCGGCATTTACTTCTGAACTAGACAGTTTGGCCTGCACCTTTACAATTTGGCCTGTGGGTACAGGGGATTTAAAAATAATATGTTGGCCACCAGAAGGCCTGGAAATGTTGAGACTTTTGAAACAAACAACTTTGCCTCGACCCTGAACAAAAAGCTTTTAACCAGACTACTGGGGGCGGATGGGGTCATGAGCAGGGCCGGACTGGCCCACCAGGATACCAGGAAATTTTCTGGTGGGCCGCGGCATTAGGGGGCTGCGCTGCGCACGTATGTGCCACCGGGTGGCCGGTCCGGTGGCACACACTCTGAGGGGGCCAGCGGCCGCATTCCACACTGGAGCTGCCGGGCCTGGTGGCAGCCTCACCGGTCCGGCGGCACTCCTGTCAGGCTTTCTGTCACTAATGCTGAGGAGTGAGGACTGAAGGAGGAGGGAGGAGCATGTCTATCTACCACGCTTCCTCGCGGTTCCCACAATCCCCAGCACAGATGCGGCTGGCCCCCCTGACTCCTCTCAGGTAAATGGGAGGGGGAAGACGGGGAATAAAGAGACACATGGGGAGGGGGAAAATGGAATAGACACAGGGAAAAGAGGGAAAAAGAGAGAGACGGGGAAGAGTGAGACACAGGGGGAGAAAAAGGGTGAATAGAGAGATGGTGGAGGGAGGGAAGAGAGATGTGGGGGAGAGAGAGAGACACAGACCTAAGAGTGCATCTCTTTTTCATTTATTGTCTATACTCAGCATGGGATTGCACCATGGCATATTTTTTATATGTAGACAACATGAAAGGTTGAGTGCCACTATACTTATATACGTATATATATATATATGTATAATGACTATTATATTTACACATATATTAATGTATATTTATATATGCATAATACACAGAGAAATTTCATTAATATATACTATATGCAATGAGCAGATATTGGCCCAGTCTTGCTGCTAGGTGCATACTCCAGCACAATAACATATTTAAAGTGAAGGGCGCACCCACAGGACTTCAAAATAAACAAGTTAACGTAAGTTTTTTACAGTTGTGCCCTACATACATTCACCATTTCAGTCCCATTACCAAGCTTTCCTTAATATGTCATGGTAGTTGGACTGAAACATTGATTATATGCAAAGGCACGTCTGCTTAAAATAAATCTGCACTTTTGTTTATTTTGAAGCCTATGAGTGCTTTTTTTTTACGTTGGAGTAATAATTTTTAATTTTAAGTTCTCTTTTCTAACTCTGTATCAGCACACTATGCTGGCGCAAAGCATTATGGGGCTGGTAAATATTTTCTTTCCAGGGCTGCTTTTAATTCCCAGTCCGGCCCTGGTCACGAGGGACATGTAAAACCTCCCATATACTGACATGGATGTTATAATGATCTCCATGGGCTTTTTGTTTATTTTCTTAAATGACTTCTGGAGCACAATTATCAGCGTTTTCCAACAGTGGACCCATTTATTGGGTTTAGCTACTAGAATTTCCACTAGCATTAAATCCTGCGGAAAGTAAATTATAAAAAACAAAAGCTGAATATAATCAATAATATCAACTGCTTTTTGCAGATAGAGTTAAATCAAGGCCATAAAAGAAAAACAAAGCAAAGCCAGGATCCTAATTTACCATCAGCAAACAGTCTACAGCACAGCCTAGATCAGGCAGCAGAACCACCCACCCCTAGAAATTGACATTCAATGTCTTCTTATTTTGCTAAATGCTGCCTGAGCTGCCTTTTTACTAGGGTTAGATGGGGCAGAGGAAAGCTATATTTGGTGCATTCAGACTCCTTACCAGCTTATCTCACTAGCAGGATGACATATTAGATCACGGAGTGAAATATGAACACATGATATCCTGGGGTAAATAATGTGTGTTGAAATATAAATTGATTGTGCCATATGGGATCAACAGGGTGAATTAAGTCACGACATTGAAAATAAGTTATGGGGTTAATTGATATAACCACCATATGGTTGGGGGTGTGTGGCCTAGACTCCGATGAAGATGGCTGCCTAACCTGTGAGCTCCGTCCCACATAGCTCCTAAAAGTGCAGAAAGGACTACTAATGGGTCAAACAAAATGACCTGATAGCTACCAGACCCCGAGGAGCAACTCAGGAAGGAGCAATTCAGGAACACTCTCTGACAACATCCACGCAGCGATCCACTCAGAGGTAACGTTGCAGATCAAAATTACGGAGCATGGCGGCTGCATTAAAGCCCTTTAAAATACCACCTAGATAGTAGCAGCCTGGACTGAGGCAACCAAGCTCGTTCTTCCAAGACAAGGTAACATGCTACTGACCCTCAGATGTCAGACTGAAGACTTGGACAACAGGGGTCGCAGAACTGACAAATGCGTACGCGGCCTACCTGAACCCTCTGCGGAGGAAGACATGGAAGGTACTCTGACGACCCTCTTCTGAGATATCCTCGGACCCGAAGCACCAGCACGCCTTGAATTTGACCAGAGGCATAGAGCCACCAGACCATACTTAGCAGATGGAGCTCCGTGGGACATAATATGGTGCTTGCACAACTACATTATGAGCTCATAATGTCTAAAGCTCGTTTGAGACCGACTTGGAGGTACCATGAGCAGAGGTGGCACTATAACAAGACTTATCGCCCCTGACACTGGAAGCTCGTAGAGCACGGAGACCCGTGACACTACTTCTCCGAGAGCGAAATATCCAATATAAATGGGGATTTCCCTTTAGCCTCCTCGCCAGGTACCAGAATTAATGGATTCCCCAATGATGGCCAGATGAGGTACCACATTTCCTACAACACACGGGACTACCCCACACGGAGGTACCCGATTAGATTTGGGACCACTGGAGCAAAGACCTAGCCCTCAGATGCAATGACACAGAGGTGACTCACTGTGGAGACCACCCACCCGCAGTCCCAGCCGACCCTTAAGAATGAAGCTTATGGTTGAACCCTGGTCCCCACCCTTCTGAGATGCAACCCGAGATGGAGACGCCATGGCTCTGCGACCAAGGACTCGGCAGATAAGTAAACGCACACAGTTCTGGACCCTTTGACTTCCCATGTCAACCATGGAGGGGATATGATAACATTATACAAATATATTCGGGGCCAGTACAAACCATTATCTGAAAATCTATTCATAAACAGGGCTATACATACGAGGTCACACATTTAGGGTAGAAGAAAGGAGATTTCATCTAAGGCAAAGGAAAGGTTTTTTGTTTTTTTTTTACAGTAAGAGCAATAAGGATATGGAATTATCTGCCTGAAAAGGTGGTTTTATCAGAGTCCATACAGATGTTTAAACTGCAATTGGATAAATACTTGCAAAAACATAACATACAGGGATATCATTTCTAATTAGTGGGGTAATAGCTGCTTGATCCAAGGAGACATCTGACTGCTATTTTGGGGTCGAGAGGGAATTTTTTCCTACTTTGTTGCAAAGCCTAGGTTTTTTGCCTTCTTTTGGACCAACAGCAAAAACATATGTGAGGAATGCTTAACTTGATGAACGCAAGTCTCTTTTTAGATTTGTAACTATGTAACCACTGTGCATTTCCTTAAGGCCAACATTTACTACAACCTCGGCCAAAAGAACCCATTTGGTCACCTCCAGAGCCAGCTGACTTCCCCCATGATGTACAGGCACCTATCTACACTTTTCCTTGGGGTGGGAAAGGTTACGGGATGGATATCACTTTTTCTGAACCTGCCGCATGGATATGGCCAGCACCACGAGAGAGAATTGTTGCTAAACCGTTTATTCACAGTTTTGTTCTTATACGACTCCCACACTTTAGCCACTACACAAATGAATCCCTCGATAGCCCATGATGCCATATGGGTTGAGGTAACTGATCAAAGCCGAACTTTAACAAGTGGACACTTGGAAACTTATAGAGATAGGGGGAGGTGAGGGGTGGAAGCACTATGTTATTGCCGGCTGTTCTGAGGGGGGAGGGAGAGGGGTGATAATGATTGAAAAGGAGAGATGTATAGGAGGGACAACTGCAAGTGGGAACGGGGAGTTTTCATTTAAACACAAAAAACATAAGGTTGTGCAAGAGTATGGCTGTGGCCCGCCCTGCGGATCCCCATAGTATAATGAGTGATCATTAAAAGACGAAAATACATATTCCGCAATATAAAACATCTTTATTATTAAAGAAAATAAAAGATATTAAATGCTCACTTAGTCCTCCTCCACAAGAACTGCTGACATTTTGTGGAGAGGACATAATTTGCAGAAGGGCAGTTCTTTCAGGAGATTGGAAGAGTGCATTTGACACTGGATTCTTAGATATTTCACCTTTGTACCAGGCTTCAACAGAGGCAGATAATCAGTTCAAAAGTTCTGTTTCCAGTTGCTTTTAAAGGCTGCGTACATTGTGTAGTGGGGACCCCCCTGAACAAAAATCAATTTCAGAATATCTAATCATTGGTATTGGCACTCTAGCGATATATGCAATAAATGAATTTCAAAGGTTAGAGGACGAAAAAGAACGTGCTAAAGAAAACAAAAATAAGAAAAAATGTGCATGTTTAGTGGTGTGACGGATATTGCGTTGAGCAGTATTTTCTTACAACGCTGAGGATATCTCTGTTATAGGCCCAAGAACGGCAACAGCTTCAATCTCTATTCTCGCACCCTTAAAAGAAAAGAAAGAATTTTCAAAATGTTAATATAGAAAGTATAAATAAATGGAACTAACCCACAGATATATTTCATTGTTCTTACAGAAGATACATACACTGAAAGAACTAATATCGTGGGAGCTGTCCGTGTTCTAATTTCACCAATTAAACAAGAAAAATAAAGAGCAACAAGAACAAACACGTGGCCAATTATTAGTTTTAAATAAATTGTCAAAGTCACAAGTGCCCTCCCCCCCCGTTTTACTCTTAGTAGTAGTATACTTTTTATTCCATTACTATTTTCTCTGCAGGAAACGGCCATTAATTGCCAAAGACACAGGTGTCAGATATGTCCTGACTCTGTGTGTATACCCTTATATCCTGTTAGTTGCATATGTAATGTCATCCTCTGTCTATATACACTCCCAAAGTGCCTTCAGTATGATATCTATCATTATGTAATAAATGATTTTATTTTGGCTCTTCCTTATCTTTTCTATAGCACTGTACAGTATCTACATCTCTCTTCTGGTGGATATTATGCTTAATAAACATATTCTTTACTGATATGCAGTGCCTTCGCAATCCATCCATTATCTACTCTGTCTTATTCCATATCTTCCTATTGTATCAGTCTACCTGTCTATCTAGGATGAGCACTGGCACGAAAGAGTGGAGAGTACAGGTTTAGAAAGAGGTACAAAACATATGGGCAAGATGTGAACTGCAAAACATGGGAACTGGGGAAGTCCATAAGCATAGGGACCACAGAAAGATTTGCCAAAGGTCCCATTAATATTAAAGGTGGCCCTGTATACCTCCTCTACATGTTTTCCCAATGTCCCATATAAAGAGGTTTCTGCATACAAATCAACCCGTGTTAAATAAGGACTCTTCTGTGCGGCCCCTGCATCTATTCTCGGGAACAGGGGCTGCTGTTGGTGGAAATTGCCAGCTAAGCCACTGAAACATCGAAAGTGACGGCAGATTCGGCCCATTTAGTCTGCCCAATATTTCTAAATACTTTCATTAGTCCCTGGCCATATCTTATAGTTAGGATAGCCTTATGCCTATCCCACGCATGCTTAAACTCCTTTACTGTGTTAACCTCTACCACTTCAGCTGGAAGGCTATTCCATGCATCCACTACCCTCTCAATAAAGTAATACTTCCTGATATTATTTTTAAACCTTTGCCCCTCTAATTTAAGACTATGTCCTCTTGTTGTGAAGAGAAGTAACAATACTACGTACCCCATTCCTTCATTCACTTGTGTATATAAGGGCTAGATTTTGGTTACATGTCGCAAATAAAATTTGGACTTACTCTTGGCAATGCAGCAACCTGATATGCAGCTCTTGCTGGAAAGTTCTTTTGGAAAACTGGGAGAAAAAAGAAAGAATAATAAAATAAAAAATTAAACATTTGATGCAAATCAGTAATATGTTTGCGGTTGCTACGGATGGAGAGCAGATGGACCATCTATAGGAGGTCTCTTTTGCTCTCCTTTATCATTCTATTCCTTGGCTTAGGGTCTATGCCGAAGAATTGATTGACAGATGGGAGAAAAAACATTTTTTTATATTTTTTTCTTCCAATCTGTACATCTGCTATCAAAACTGCTAGCACAGCGTATACATAAAATGGCATGCTCTTCAAAAACAGCAAAACTAGTTTCTAACATGGCATGGCTTTTAAATCCTGTTTATGTACAGTTAGTATATTACTTATTCAACCAGGAGGGTCTTCAGAATTCTGAAGTATTTCAATGGTGATCATTTTCCAGTTGTACACTTTGTGGTGTTCTAACCTCATCCTCATATCATCACAGCTATATACACAGACACGCTTCTTTAAGAGGTTTACAAACACTAAACTAATATTGTGAGTATAATTCTGTTAACCTTTTGAGAGTCTGGGGTAAAATCATCATAAAATCATAAATACATTTTTTTTTTTAAATCCACTTTCAAATACATTACAATAAATAATAATATATTTCTAATTTCTTTACCATTTATAATTTATTTTGTTTATTTTTTTTTTCTTAATTCTTTATTTTTGTAGTGCAATTATTTAACAAGTGCTCTTGCCATGCCCCAACAGCAGTAATGAATGGTAAAATACATACCATTTATAATTTGACTGTGCATTCTGGATTGTATCCTCTCCTAACTTCTTTTTCTTCTTGGAAGTTGTTTCTTATTGATGTTAATGGGACTGCCCTTGTGCGTAGGTTGTAACCCCCCCCCCCGCTCCCCCATTTGACAGCAGAGATACAACAAGCTACAAACCTAGAATGTAACCTCTACATCCATTGTCATTAGGGCTAGCACATTTACAGGGGCTGCCTCTGTAGCTCTAGAATTTGGTAAGACCATCGAACTGTGGAAGTGCGACTACTAAAGCTTGTTATTTTTATGTGAACTCTGCTTGCTGACTGTAATCATAAGAGAAAATTCCTCAAGGAATTCTGAAAATGCAAAGATCCATCAATACTGATCCCCCCCCCCCCCATTTAACTTTTCCGTGGGAGGGAGAAATTGCATCTAAACTGTACTTAATCTCAAAATTATTAAATTAGGCCGGAACAAGGATATTTAGAGATTTAAAAAGGAGGAGGTCAATAAAAAGCATTGAACTTACAACCAAAATGAAAATGTAAGGGAATTTAAAAAAAAAAAAATGAAGAAAATTATTTTGCACATGGCTGGCAATTCACTGGTTAATGAATAATTCCTATCTAATCTTTCAGGTGCACTTTCAAGGCAAGTGTTTGTGAATAGTCACACCTAAACAAATTCAATGATGCATATAATAATGATACAAGGCTTTAAAAACAGCATTTCGGAGGTATTTGTGTTGATAATCTCCGAAACACACTGCTATAAAACTTAATATTATGTTATTAGAAACAGCCAAATACTCACATTGTTTGTAAATTTCATTAACATCATTAAAGTCGTTCATGTCTGCCAACAGAACCGTGGTTTTTACAACTGAAATAGATGTGAAAATTATGGGAAAAGAAAGGGGGGGGGAATAAAGACTATTATAATTTCATAAAACCTAGAGGAAAATGAATACATTTCAAGCAACACACCAAAATATGTTAATTTCGAACATTCATCTAAACTGAGGACGTTCATACACCTGTTGTTGAATTATATTTCTAAAAATTTGAATTGTAGTCGGTAACGGATAGAGATCTAAAGACATGTTTAAATTCCGACTACAGGCACATCCTACTCACCATTAGAATAGTCGCATCCCGCTGCTCTTAGAATTTCTCCCATATTCACCAAAGCCTGGTGTAAATAAACAGAACATAAATAGATACACTTAAAGTTTGCAGATTTTTCTTGATTGCTCTTTATTAAAAACAATAAAGATATTGTTTACCTTTCTGCTTTAGTTGGACAATAATGAGTGACTGATTAATCTTAATGTGCATGGATTCAGGTAGTACGCCAACTACCTCTACCAGCAAACCTGTCTATATTCTATCAAATCAATTATCTGCTGATGTCACTCCTCCTCGCTGGAGAGAGGGGGAGGTCAAAGAGGAATGTCAGCTGAGGGAAGAATATTGGTGGCACAGAGGTGGAGGGCTGTGCCACCATTGGCTGTTTGACGCCAGCATGCTGTGTGTACTGGCATCAGAGGCTGATGTTGCAAAGAATTAATATAAGCCAGCCCGGAACTCTTATTCTGGGATGGTTAATGACGCCAAATGACTCTGCCAGAGATGGAGTTACAACTTCACTAGCCAAGTGGTTGATCTCTGCAGCATTTCATAGGGAAATATACAGACTCCAGACACCATGACCACTTCAAATCACTGAAGCGATTGTGGTACCTGGAGAACCATTTAAAGAAAGCATGGAAGTTATAATAATGATGGAATAACTCATGAGAGCTGAATTGGGTTTTGATTGCACTGAGAGCTACTACAATTAAGACATGGTATTTGCATTATATTTTGTTAATTATGCAATGCAGTTTGAAAACAAACAAACCACATTACTCTGTATGAATAATTACACATTTCAACCAGTGAGATATTGTTTACCTGCTTTGCTTCAGGCTTAACTCCTCCAGCCACAACTTGTCCGCTCAAAGGGTCCATGCCAATCTGGCCAGACACGTACATGGTTTTATCCACCACCACAGCTTGGCTGAACAAATGAAAACAGCACGTTATACACTTACAGTGGGTTCCCCAATCTCTTTAACCAGTCAATCTTCTGTTTATAAGTCATTGGTTTTGTTACACTGAGACAGGGACTGTCAAAATATATTAAGACCTAGTATTAATAAATAGTAATATTAAAAATGTTTCATCAGAAAGGATACATTGAGACGTTCTCTTATCTTAATATGACCTTGAAGATATATGTGTAACTGAATTTTACTTATCTCCACTATCTTAAAATATGTATTGGTGAAATGTAAAAAAATTCATTAAATGTAGACGTCACAACCTCTTTATCTTACTACTGGGCACCTGTAACTTAGCTCCCTGTTAATCATAGTTATATATCCTGCCCATTTCACCAAAAATGCATACTGAGAAGAGGAGAAATTGAACAGTTTCCCCCCAATATGTTTCCTGTGAATTTGTGTCAGAATTCCATGTGATAGTTTCTCCCATTGAAATGACAATGATTAATATCTTCAACCACATATCGCAAAGTTGACATGTAATAGGAAATCTGTTTAATGAAAGTGCTTAAAGCAGCACTGTTAACAACTTCAGACCTTCCCTCAAAAAAAATTAGTATTTCATTACAAGAGAATCTATATGAAACACTCATATCGACTGTTATGTCTGACTACTATGTCTGACCGGATACTTATTGATACTGGGCATTGCTACCGCTGTCTACAAGTGTCAGTCCCGTAGCTGTCACCAGTGCAGGCACTTGGCTTTATCTCTGGAGGATCTTGCAGGATGCTCCACAGGCCTAAATTGCTGTACTCTCGCACAGCTCTGTCTTCAACCCCTGAATAAAACCCATCAGAAGATGATGCATGTTCAGGTAAGACCCTGCCTCCCAGGCCACTGGACCCCCAGTGGTGCTGTCACAGTCGGGGGTCTTTGCAAATTCTGTAAAGTCCCGAGATGGTGACAGTGCTGATTTAACAAATCCCATTAGCCAAGATGCTAAAAAGCTTGTTGCCATTTTTTAAATTTTACATATAGGAGACCAAATGACATGAGTGCTCTGCCCTCTGGTGGGATCAGTTGATAAACAGATGGTATAAGTTCCCTTTGTAAAGGCACAAGCCAGCTAAAACTTGTTAGACAAGTGAGCAGAAACTAACCACAGGCCAGCAGAGTTTTTGTCTATTAGTATTAAAACTAGTTTAATTAAAGATGGCCAGTAATCACTAACTGCCTGGCATCGTTATGATATTTCCATTAATAAACGTATAAAGTATAACTAGTGAAGATAAAAAAATTGCAGTTTAGCTAGGAGAAATGTCACATGTTGCCGGTTAAAGTCCAATTCTAATTTCTATAAAATCTTATATAACGATAGTCAGAGGGTTCATAGACATCAAGGATCAGGGAAAACCACCTGAATTATAATTTATGTCCTCAAATATATGGAAATTTGTTACTAAACTGTGAACAGAAAAAAAAAAAATGGCAAAATTTAAACAAATGTAAACATAAAAAAATAAATTCTCCAACTCAACTATAGTGCCAGATTGGTTATTTTAGAGTAAAGTTTGCTACTCAGTGCTTAGTGAATAAACAGAATGAATGTTCTATTGTAAAAAATTGCTAATGTCCGAAGGCCCACTAGAAAAACCTGTAGGAGCTGGATGGGGTGGGGGGGAGGTACAGCCTGGCAGTCATTGGATGACAGAGTGCTACTCCCCCTGCATCTTGTTTTAACGTATTTAGAGAGTACAGGGTAAAAGGTATTCAATAGACATGTTTAAAGTGAATTGCATCTATTTGTAAGCGCAGCAGTTTATGCTTTAAACAAAAGGATAACTAATTATATGATACACTATATAACTTAACTAGCTAATGGTTATTCTTAGACACAGAAAGCTTTGAGGCTGGGGTTAACACTATAAATGCTGATGAACTAATGATGAATTCCTTAACACTCTGTCACTCACAGAATTAAAGAAAATAAGTTGCACCTATACAATAGGAAGTGTAGTTTTTTTTGTCTGCAGATGGCTAGAAGTTAAGAAAAAAAAAATCCCATTACTTGTAATCATAATTCTTAATATAAACATTTTTTAATACGCAACAAACTTACTTGTCAGAATTATTCGATAAAATAATAACTTTGCCACATAGTGTTTTATACTTTAAAACTATGAGTTGTGGAGAACTGACATTAAATTGCAAATTATTGTCCAAAACAGCTCAACTGGAAAAATTATTAAACAAGGCTATTTTCCAGGTCAAGCATTTGGTCTACAATGTGCAATTCTCTCGACAATCCTCTACAATTCCTAGTTTAATGAATAAGTTCACAGAAAGAACTTGGAAAATATCAATGTGCTGACTATCCCTTCCAGAGGTGTCCCACATTGGCTCTCCACCTGTCCCTGGACAACATTACCCATATTTCTCTGTCGAACACTGACTGCTGGCATTTGTGGTAGATTTACCAAGCTTGTGGAATGAACTACCTGTTGCTTTTTGCCACATCCACTAGACAGTAAATATATACACACAAGCTAAATTTGTCCTGCCGGACATAACCAATCTCCGAATGTTCTATTTTCATTATGAAGATACCCGTTTCCCACCTGTCTCTTTATTTAACAAGAAGATGGGAAAGGAAAAATTGCAGGTTAAAACAAAGAATATGACTTAAAAAAAAGAATGGGAGATGTTCAGGAAGAAGGAGAAATATGAAATATGAAGAAGAGAGGGTAAAAAAAAGTTAAACAGTTAAAGGGGCACTCCAGGCACCATAACAACTTCATTTAGATGAGGTTGTTATTGTGTCCAAACTGTCCCTTTTAGGAAAAGGTTGTAGGCATCGGCAGAGATGGTATGGGGTTAACCAGAGTTAGGAGTAAAAAGAGCATGGGATGTGTTGATGGATGAATAAGGTACAATGGGCTAGATATAAATATTTTCACATTAAGATACATTTTCTTCCAGCAGCTCACATGTGACACAACTAAAACATTAATTAACGTCTACCACTGATTTCAGGCGCTATAAAATAAAGTTGCAGTATGCTTACCTGTAGACATCACTCCGAACAGGTGCATTTGGTGTGTAAATAATGCGTCTTAATGTAAAAGACATGATTCTGTACAGAACGTCTGCAGTGGAATCCTCGCTGTCTGATTTAAACAGCGGCTATGATTTAACCTTTGGTATTGTTGACATAAAAAGGAGTCACCCGGTGTGGTTTATTCCAGATAACTTCCCATTCGTTCATTATCATCAATAAAAAAACATAATATCAATTTGGGAATTGTTTACACTAAAAACAAAGGTGCCTTTTGCAATGTTTTCTGTACACTGTAGGAATAATATTTCATTAATATCTATAACGATTAGCAATGTACAGTGTGCGCTGGCCCTACTCTAGCCACAGGAAACAAATATTATTAACAAGTTGAATCTCAATCTGATCACAGAAGAGACATTATAATAAATACTTTGTTTCCACTTAGAAAGTGAACTATACACTTATTATTTTTGTTATATTATTTTAGAATGTTAACTAGTTTAAAGAGAATTTTTTTCTCTACAGTTCTTTTTAAAACAAATCTCTAGTTAACCACAGCTAAGACACTTCAAAAAACATTTCTTTTTTTGTGTGTCATGGTTATATCTACTCTAAGTGCCCCAAGTCCTTCTGCTACATTTTGTGTAATGGATCATTGAACAAAACACTTGGTACATAAAAAGATTAAAAAAAAATTTCTACCTGCTTTCTCATGCTGTCAGCCTTATAGAACAAGAGATTGCAATTGGGGGATATAAGAAATAACAGGCATGCAATCTTTCCCCCCCAGGTGGATTTTAACCCCTTAAGGACACATGACATGATTCCCTTTTATTCCAGAAGTTTGGTCCCTAAGGGGTTAAGACTAACCATGTTTGCTTTGAGTACTCTGCACTTTATAGGTAACTGTGTGTGTGACTCAGTGACTGTATGGCTGACAGTAAAATCAATACTTAGTGTTTACCTGTAAGGTCCTATGGCACCTGGAGCCTTGCTGGTGGTAATGATCCTCCTGATGATTCCTGCCATGTCTCCTGAATGAGGACCTTGCTCTGCAGCTCACACTGTGCTCCCTGGCTGCTAGGGAGGCAGGTACACCCACTGCGCATGCGCACAACGGAGAACGACAGGGAGAAAAGTATTGGTCAGGTCTCAGAGCTACACCAGTGAACCCACCAATCAGATTAGCCGTACGGAATCGAGAGTGAGGCTTGGAACGCATCCTCTCCCTCCACGTGGTGTGAGCTCCATGGCCACTTCCTAGAGTCCCTGGGATGCCCGTGAGTAGCGAGGCTGTTGGCATAGGAACACGTTCCATCATTAATAAGGTAGATGTGCTGTTTGTGCCATTCATGACTGTCCATCAGGTTACTCACTAAAGTGAGCTTTGTGGGGATAATGAAAAGGGAACTTCAGATTGTAGGCCATCATGTTAAAATATCAGGTTAAAACGAAGAATATGACTTAAAACAAGAATGGGGGGGTGAAAAGGGAGATGTTCAGGAAGAAATCTGAAAAAGAGAGGGTAAAAAAAAAAGTTAAACAGTTAAAGGGGCATTCCAAGCACCATAACAACTTCATTTAGATGAGGTTGTTATTGTGTCCAAACTGTCCTATATATATTCACATTAAGATACATTATTTCCACCAGCTCACATGTGGAATTAGGGTTTTTTGATGGTCCATTTGTTAAAGGGCCAGGGTAAGCAGCATGGCCACTGCAACTCAGCCTAGGAATTATGTTTCCCAGAAATTCGATTTAAGAGCTGTGTCACTGTAACAACTCTCTCCAACACAGCAGAGAGCCCTCCCTCTTTTTCCACATTGATAAAAACAGGATTTACACTAATGCATTATTATTGTCAATAATTCCTAATCTGGATAACCTAGATTATCAGAGAATGCTGGGCTAACTCACTGCAACTGCTCTCAGACAGTCCCTGTAGTACAGGTTATAGAAATTCATAATGAGGGATAGTAAATTCTAAATAGAAGGGGGTGGGGGATTCTCTGTGTTCAGGAGAAAGCCCAATTTTTTTTTCTATCATACTGTTACTAAATGGTATGACAAAAAAAAAACAAAAAACAGGACAGCACCCAGAGATTCTTCGCAACATACTCACTACATTGCTGGTTATATAGTTTACAGTGCCTATCTAAATGTGATTTATGTTTGTATTATTTTTCCATATTTTTTTTTGGAGGGGAGGTAGACTGTAATACAGACTTCATAGTCAACCAGTGTGTATTATATGCATTGTGATCTGCTGTGATGGTAAAATGAGGTTGCATGCATGCTTGTGGTATGATTGAAAGCACGTTAAAGTGGCTCTGTCACCGTCTGGGGTCTTTGGATAGTTTGCAAAAATCCCTGACTGTGGCATCAATGCTAAGAATCCTGTGATCATGGGAGGCAGGGGAAGGTGAGAATTACTTGCGCATGAGTGAGAGTACAGCATTGAGGTCTATGGAGAATCTCGCGCGACTGCAGGATCCTCCATAGAAAGAGTTTTTTGGGTTTTTTTTTTTTTTTTTAAGCTGAAGTGGTCTGGGTGCCTATAGTGGACCTTTAATTAAATACTAAGAAGTGACACCGTCGCTTTAAAAGTTGAATTCTTTTGGCTGAGCAAGAAGGGTAAGAAACTAATGGGCAAATAGGGCATACATATCCAGCAGTGATAGTGGTAATCAAACAAAATGATTTAAACATATGTGTGTGAATTTGTTTTCTCATACTCTGTTAGAAGCATTGTTAAAAATACATTCAGGATTTGTTTTCTTCTTTGTAAATGACCTGTCATGGTGTTGCTGAATGACTTGCTTTGGGAAATGCCCACATAGGAGCCAAAAATCACAATAATAATTTTGTTCTATTTCCCTTAGAGATGTCTACTGCAAAAGAGAAAAAATATGCAAAGAGGATGCGCAATCAGCCATCCAGTGTGAGCCTAACTTCCGATGTCACTGCTGACCGTGGCAGCAGACCTGCCGAACATGGGTCTCGAGGAAATGTTCACTCACACAGAGGTATTTGTACTACAGATATTTGGAAACACATGTTCTGTAACTTGGGAAAAAAATAGAATTCTTGGATCCCAAGGTAGTTATACATTAACAACATTTTGGCCTGAAATGCATGCTGCTGTTTTCTGCAATACAATAATTGCTGACATCTATTTTTTATAGCATAATTATAAGTGACTCACATATTTAATGATAATGAATATTGCGATAATAGTTTAATTTATCCAAATGGTTGTTAAAGCTCTTTGTTTCCTGGGATAAGCATGAGCGAGCGTTGTTGAAGATTGTACTTGTTATGTTGCTGGGTTTTGTTTTTTTTCTTTTCACAGTATAATGTAAAATGACTTGCACTCACAGCTGCGCACAGATAGTGAAATATTGTGATTTGTTATTAATAGTGAAAAAAGTTACATTTGTGTAGAACTTTTCCCGTCGTTGGATCTTTTGCGATTTTTGGTTAGCTTGAGTGTTGTATGCAAAATGTATTGTTTTACAAGCACGCATAAAAATAACATTTATTTATTTTTCCTTTAACTCTTAAATTACATTGGTGGATGGTTTCTCAGTAACTGTGCAAAGGAACTCTCCTGGCACCATAATAACTGCAGTGCTCTGTAGTGGTTATGGTGCTCTGAGTGCCATGCCACTCCCCTCTATGTAACTTGTTAAACTATTTCCTGACGCTTTGACAACTGACTTTGGATCCTCCATGCCCCGGTCACCAACTTCATATGATCCAGAATCTCTGTGTATCGAGCTAAGATCGGCAGTGATAACCTGATGGTCTCAGCCTGTGAGTTAGCCCTGCAGGGCTTAGAGGATGAGGTTGGCCTCTGGTAGGCCCCAGGAAAGTTGTAAAACTGTTAGCAAACAATTTACACTGAAGGGGTGCGAATTCAATCATTGCACCATAACAACTACAGCACACTGAAGTGGTTATGATGCCTGGAGGATTCCTTTACATTATCATGAGATCATTTACATGTAATTTAAATTTTGTTGACACAAGGATAGTACAAAGTAACTACTTTGCTAGACTTAGCCCTTTAATGATCTTCCTTTTTATGTCCTATAGTTTTGAAAGGCACCTTAGTAAACAGGAAAAATCTGATACAATGCCTTCTATTTTATACAGTGAGGGCTAGAGCATTCCCTGTCTGATGATGTTCTATAATATGGATAGTTGCACTATGACCGTTACAATCAATTTTTCATCTTTTTAGATAGTCACCCTGGCTCTTCCGGACAGCACCAGAGGTATTCAAATCAATCTCCCTTCCAGTCAAGAGGAGGGAGAGGCAGAAGTGGACCAGCTGACGCACATCTCGTGCCTAAATATATAACAGGTACCTGCATAACATTAAGCAGTTCATCTCACATTGTGAGCCCAAAACTCCACAGGCTGCAGGTTCTAACCGAAAGTGTAACTGTATGTATCAAGTATTCTAGAAAGATCCACACACACAGCTGCATCTTCTTTTATGAAATAATCTAAAATAATAATTTTTAAAAATGCATTGCACAGTGTTAAAGAAAAGTAATTGAAAGCCATATTATATTTTGGAAAACCAATATTAAAGGATCACTATAGTGTCAGGAAAACAACCCTTAGGTCCCCCCCACCCTCAAGGCCCCCTTCAAGCTGGGCTGGAGGGGTTTAAACCCTTTCAGCAACTTACCTTTATCCAGCGCCGGGCTCCCTTGGCGCTGGTGACCTCTCCTCCCCCGCCAACGTCAGCTCCCGAGTGGAGCGGAATGCGCGTGCGCGGCAAAAGCCGCACGCGCATTCAAACAGTCACAGGAAAGCATGTCTCAATGCTTTCCTATGGACGTTCTGCACGCTGAATGCGATTTTCGCATTCCAGCGTCGCAGAAGCGCCTCTAGCGGCTATGTTTACATCTGAAGGGTTAAAACCTGGGGGACCTGGCACCCAGACCACTTCATTGAGCTGAAGTCGTCTGCATGTCCCTTTAAGGAAAGAATTACTTTGCAAGTCCACAAAAAAGATTAATAAAAAAACAAGGTATAGGCATTATTTGTTTTTTATAGATATTAATGTTGTTTTGGTGCAAAGTGCCTGTACCAACTTCTCTGTAAACACTTTTTTCTCTGAAAAGCCAAGTGTTTTATTTCTCTCTAAGAACAACTCTGGTGGCTGTCTCTCCGTAGCCACTAGAGGTGCTTCTTATTATGGTCTTGGAGTAATTCCTGGACTGACGTTTGGCTGCCTTATTCTCAGTTTGAAACACCTACACTCTCCACGTAGAGATCCATTGGTATAATACATCAAATGAGAAGATGTTAATTGTAGCAGTGAGGTGATTGCTGTACATGCACAGTAGGCCCCTCATTACTTCCCTATGGAGAAACATTGGATTGGCTGAGATTATCGTAATGATGGTGAGGGGTGGAAATGAGACCACAATGAGGGATAAAAGGTGAGTAAAACAAATACAGTAACTGTTGAGTTTAAAACTGGAGGGGAAACAAGTACAGTATCTGGATAATTTATCCATGAATGTTCTATGCATATCCCACTCCACAGAAAGTATATTATATGACAATAGGATATGTTATTCCCCTTTGGAAGGCCCAGTCATTTTTCAGGTATTGTTCAATGACATTGTGCAAAAGAGAACAGTTGTTAAAGCAGTATCCTATCCTAAGAGGTTGAAGAGATGCCAATAGGGCCACTACACCAGCACGATTTCTGGCAATAAATCTTGGATGCAGTTGCTGAAATGTCATGTTCTGGGATAACCTTTTCTCCTCCTCTGATCTCTGCATCATAGGGACTGTGCCCTGCTAACCCTGCTCTTACAGTCCTCCCCAGGATGGCATAGTTGCTGCTCACAGTAAAATTTCAGTAAAATTTTAATGACTCAGCGCAGTATAACATACTACGTTTATTGTGGCTATAAATTTTATTGTTTAAAAAAAAAAAAAAAGTAACCATCATGTGTTTTTTTGTTTTTGTTTGTTTTTTAATAAAAAAGTGATAGAACAAATGCAGAAATATATCTGGCATTCTCCTGTTTTTCTCTCTATCCTATGTTTGTCCTTATCAATCTGTATGTGTGTTTGTATGTAGAGGAGGTGCCATGTTCCTCTCCAGACGCTGGCAGCTTTCTCTCCCATTAGCGCACATCACATGTTCTCTCAGGTGGTGGGATCTTTGCATCTTCTAAGACCGAGGGATCCTACATAGATAATCTCCCTCACACACAGCAAATGTTATACTCAACGTTTGCACATAGCTCACAAAGATGCCTGATCCCACCAGTCACCGAGCGTAGGGAAATGAATCAATGTGCATTCCCTTACTAACCCAACATTACATTTTGCCAAGTTGAGGCTTGGCTCAGGAGCTCAACTCTAAGTGCATTAATCTGTTTTCAAGCTGTTGGCGTATTTTCTTTAGAAGCTGTTGTTAAAACATCCTAAGTTTATGTTTGACAGAGCTGGCCTAAAACTAAGTTACATATCACTGTAATGTAACGATTTTCTACAATATCACTTATCCTCAGGACAACTAAAGTTTTCAAGAAGCCCCCCTTGTATTTTTCATTCTCTGTCCCTTCCTTTTTTTTTTCTTTTTCTATTTTTTTCTTTTGTAAACCTACTTATCGTGCGATTCACTTTTACAGCGACAATGTTTGCTCAGGCTCGTGCAGCTGAAATCAATGCCATGGTTAAAGCCGTCTCCCAGAAAACATCGAACTGTTTAGTGTTTCAATCGTTACCCAGACACATGCGCAGAAGAGCCATGGGCCACGACATAAAACGATTACCTAGGAGATTGCGAGAAATTGCTAAAAAAGAGGTAATTTTATAACTTTGCACAACTTGCAGATTTTTGTGGTTTAGCAACAAAAAATATTATCAAGTTACTCGAACCCTTTTAACTGTGCTGTTTTTTGGGGGGGGTGAGGAGGAAGAGGGAAGGTTTGGGGTTTATTTTCGTTTTTTTGGGCATTGCTACTTATGTCCCCCCACCCAATTGTAATGTCAAAATGAAAGATTTAACTTACCTGGTATTCCCCTTCCCCCATTATGTCAAAATGTAACTTACCTGGATTCAAGCACCAGGCAAAACTCCATGCACTGGTTTTCACGCTTCTGTCAATGTTACAGCTGCCTGCTTATGGTACAATCAAATGCTGCCTATAGTGAAGAATTTAATTGGACCATTCTAACAGCTCAGAGCGAATGCACGTACTCTGAGCCACCTGGGTAGAGTAGGAAGTAATATGTAAAAAAATAAATAAAAAGAATAATTTACTATGAATACTAGGAGGGATTGCATAGAGGTAAGATCATGACTCATTGTGCCTGTCAGCACACTGACAGATATCATTTTTGCACAGACTTGACATTAGGCAAACTGGAGTAGTCATGTGTGACATTGGTGTAACAAGCCCCCTGGAAAAACGGTTCAAGCACAAACTGCACATAAATACCAGCAAGATCCTTCTAAAAGTTGTTTGAGAAACCCTTTACATTGAACAGTTGTATCTCGGTGTCAGTAGAAACCTGAACATGTATCAGAACAAATCCTGTAGAGTAGTATAGACGTGTTTTAATCTGCCTCACCTTATATATATTTTGTTTTTCCTTTCAAGATGGAAAAAACTGTGCATCAGAAGAAAGAACTATCAAAAAATAAGTGTCGCAAAGCAAGAAGACGTCATGGAAACCTCGTTATGGAATTCAACCGCAGGCAGAGGAAAAATATCTGGTTGGAAACACATATATGGCACGCCAAGAGATTTCATATGGTGAAGAAGTGGGGATATTGCCTCCCAGACAGGCCGACAATGAAGAATTACCGGGGTTGTTACAGAGCGATGACAAACCATTGTCTTCTCCAGGTATTTTGGGTTTTGTCCTTATGGGTGACTTCTTCCATTATATGTGTCTTCCCTCTCCGAAGTTTGTTTCTTCTGTAATATAATATTTGAAACTAATTCAGTGTGTGCCTATCTGGAAAAGTCTACTACAGTTAAAGGGACACTGTAGTCACTATAACCACTTTGTCTCTTTGAATTGGTTATAGTGCATGGAGTGCCCTGGCACTGTCCCTCCATTCAGTGTTGCACCATGTTTGTGCAGTATGCCACAAAATAAGAGTCCCTGGCCACCCACAGTCCGGCACCTTCTGTATGTGTAGCTAAGGCAGAGATTACACACTTCCTTGTTGTCTTACCCATTCATACCATCAGTTGGAGCTCTGACAGGTTAAAAGCAGTCAGCTGACACTCTCAGCCAATCACAGCTGCCCATTGCTGCTCAGGGTAATACTTCCTTATTAGCCAAAGCAGCACAGAGGGGATGGACTGCCGTGGTCTCTTGTTTAGCATTAAAAAATGACAACATTAAAAACTGTTTAATGCTGAAAGAAATTATGGCACCATGGGACTCCATACACTATAACCAGTTTAATGAGATGAAGCAGATACAGTGCCTACGGTGTCCCTTTAATGGGTCTGTATGAGCACCATAAGAACTTTGCATTATAAATTAGAGAATACGCTCTGTTTGCTTAGAACTACAGCAATTAAAATCACTTCTGCTGTAAGCTACCTCCTTGTTCACACTCTACAAAAGTAGAATTTGCCCATGTTTGCATGTGTCGTCTTATGTTATGAGTGGTACTGCTTCTAGGGATAAACTACATTTGTCGCAAATTTATTATGTCAATTTTCCAAGCAATCACAAGCCCCCTGTTTGTTAAAGGGTTACTCCTTCTGATTTTTGAAGTGGTCATGATGGTAGCAGTCTAGATGTGCATTGTTTCAGCTTGCAATATTGCACATCCAGAGATATTGGTAATTGTATGCCATGGGCAAGTTGCACCCCCAGAAAATGTGACTTTAGGCAGCCCAGAACCAACAGAATGTCAATTCTGTTCATATTTTACGTCTGCCATTAGAACGCTCTTGTCTTCCCTCCCCCCGTCCCACACTGATAGCAGCCCTTCCCTCCTCTCTATCCCGTTCGGTATATTTTTTTAATGCCATCTAAGCCAGTAAAATTGTCCAATCAAAGACTTCTCTATGAGAAACCTTTGATTGGACCTTGGCATGGCTCATGTGATGTCAGATCGCCCTGATCTGCCAAGCAGTACCCGCTGCTGAATTAAGGTAAGTAAAAGTTATTTTAAAACTTTTTTTTTTTTTTTGTGTTTATGTTGGGGGAGAGGGGGAACTACAGGGGACCTAATAATACCAATAGAACCTATTTCTTATAATGGCAAAAAAAGAGTTGAAGAAACCCTTTTATGAAATTGTGCAGTTGCTTCCATGTACTATAATCTTTTTTTTAATTTATTTTTTTATTATTATTATTATTATTATAGGATTTGTCTTATCTGTGCTGTCTGGAATTGATTGGTGAAGAAAATGACATTTTGAAGTCAATGTCAAGACTTTGTAGTACAGACACAGGTAATATTGTCAACTGACTGAAATATATATATATATATATATATGACACAATATCATGAAAGACAATGTTTTATTTATGAATTTAAAAGTTGTGTAATGCAGGATTGCTCAATGCAGTAAATTGTGCCGTGTGCATTAAACATGGTTTAATAACATTTTACGTGAAAGGTTCCACAGAGCTTTTTTCCAATGGAGATTCTTGATTATTCCAGACATATTAATATTTACACAATATAAAGCAATTTTTAAAGTGTGTTGTTTTCTGGTACACAGTAAAAATCCCACTTTTTTTTTTTTTTTTTTTTTTTGCACTTTTTCTTTTAAGGCCCATCTTTTGCTGCTGCGCAGTGTCTCTCTGGAAGACGCCAAGGCTCTCTAACGATGTACAAAGCTGATAAGTATCCAGAAGAAGCACTGGGTCCTGTTACTTTTATCTGGAAACCTAAGGGTGCACAGTGTGTACCATCTGGACAGAGACAGCTGTGGGTTTGGATGCATCCTGCTATGAAACAGGTAGTGATCCTATTGTAGTCTCCACAATTATTAAGTCAGATGCTGTCATTCATCTTCCTGAAATTAAAATTCAAAGTCTTTAATTAGCTACATTGCTGAGAGCCAGCTGCCTTGTATCGTAACCGTAATGGTGCATGGATTCACTTGATTTCTCTGCCATGTTTATCTTTTTTATAACCGATGCCAGAAAAACTGGCATCGGTTGGTATTTTCTTTTTGTTATTTGGCATTAATTGTTTTGTTTCTATGGTTAGAGTCCTCATGGAACTATGTCCAACCCATCTAGAGAAGCAGAATAAATCCGCCGGGGCTTTGATCCTTTTATTTTTCTATGTTTCCCTAACTATTTCCCACTTTTATATCAGCGTTCCGGATAGACCGTTGAACAGTTTGACACTTTGAATGTTTGTTTTTGTTAAATGGGGAGTCTAGCAGGTAAAGGTAAACTCTCTAATAATAAGCAACGTTTGATGTATTGATCATTTTCACTGTTACATTTTCTGCTTTCCACTTTGTTTATGCAGCCCTAGCCACACCTCCCATGGAGAAGCACACAGCCTCCATGGAGAAAAAGTTTCATTATGATACCACACTAGAGGCTGTTGCAGACTATAGCAGGCAATTAACAGAGCAATAGATAATACATTCTAAATTAAACAGCCTGTGCTATGAGATAAGTTTAAAAATTAGAACTCTTTTTCAGGAAGTGTGTAGGGAGGCTGTATGTGTCACAGTCAGGGGAGGTGTGGCTAGGGCTGCATAAAGAGTGATTTAATTCCTAAACGGCAGAGAATTGATCTGCAACTTAGCAGGGGCATGATATATACACCAAAACCACTTCTAAAAATCTATAGTAGTTTGGGGCTTATCGTCCCTTTATCTAATAGTAACTATCTTCCCTATGCAGTAGCAGAAGCGGATGCATGAATTTTCTTGCAATCACTGTGAACGTTTACAAGCATTCATGACCTTGTAGCACAGGAAATTATCATATTGCCCTAACCTCTCGCCACGGTGAACTTATCAGAAATGTCTGACATTAGAATGAAAGGACAAATTGGTTTAGTACTCGTAGAGTAATGGGCTCCAGCTAGCAACAGTAAATGCACATAGGTCTCAGTCGCTTCGAGTAACATTAACAGCAGCTCGATATGTTTGTGTTAAAGCGGCTGTCATAAATGTAGAACAAAATCCAAAGTAGTCTAACGATCTCACAGTTTCTTCACGTTTCACGGGGGTGTGTATCCAGGATCCCAATGTCTGTCTCGTAACTACTTGGATCGTCTTGCCCATGTTTCAGTCTTTAATTTTTGGCTTTCTTTCTTTTCATCTATAGATAAGGTAATTTGTAGGAAAACTCTCCATCCAAAGTTCCTTCTTTTTTTTTTTTTTATCTCTCCTATGTTGTCTTTCTACTTTTCATGTTGGGTGGTCTCATAAACGCAGAGTGAAATTATCTGTTTCCTCTAAGGACTCCCAAGGATGCCATACATAAAAAAAAAAAAAAAAAAATTTATTGATCAGTATGGATCGAGTTTTCTTGAATGTGGACACTGTAAAGTTGATGAAAAATAGACCATATTTTTCTCTTTTTAAATTAGGATGTACTAAAAGAGCTGAGACACGTTTTCTCGTGTGAGGAAACGCCAGACAATGCAGTGCCAGCAGCTGTGCTCCAGCAGGAAGAGCTGCAAGTGGTTCCTAAAAGTACCAGCAGGAAAAGGAAAAGACAGGATAAAGAAGGTGAAAAAGTTGTTCCTGTGAAAAAGATCATCGGTGATGGAACAAGGGATTCCGTAGAGCCCTATAAATGGACCTCAAAAGAAAGCTCCATCGTCATTAGGTATGCAAGTTTAATATGGCACAAGGTGTTCACAGAAAAATACTAAATAGAATTTTAACTCAGATTTTAATATTTTTGGATAAACTTTTAAAATGATTAAATATTTTGAAAAATGTTTTAATATTTTTATATATATTCTATTTTAAAAGTTTATCAAAAAATATTGAATGATTTTAAAATCTTATCCAATATTATTAAATGGAAGCCTGTTTTAAGTCCAACATGCTATCATAGCTAATGCAGTCTGTTGTCATTAACTAATGATCCATGGCGGTCGATATGTTTTTGCCCTTTGAGTCTGTGTCTGATGGCTGGGGTAGTTTACTAACCAGTATAAAAACATATATCGCATGTAATATGCTGCTATTAAGTTCAGCCAAAGCTGTTATGTCTGTATGTCTACCCATATCTACCTCCTCTCTTGAATGTTACAGCCCATTTGTAAATGGTTTCCTATTTATTTTCTTACTCTTACCATTTCTAACGAATACAATTGTTTATGATACTGAAGTGTTGGAGAGTCTCCTCCCCAACTGTAAAATAAAGGGTTAACTCTTACTTATATAATCTAGTGGTGGGGCGGTTCATTACCTTGGTTTATAACTCAAGCGAGTCTGAGGACAACATTTCACGATGAGACTGAATAGCCATAGAGTTTATTGAAGGAGCTAAATGGTGCCTTCTGCAATTTAAAATTAAAATGCACTTTTTTGGTTTTATTCTCCATATTGGTGAGCCCTCTTTCCAGAGTAATCACCAAAATCTACATTTATTATAAAGGGGAACTCTCCTTTTAATCAAGTAGTCTCTGGAGGTCTCTAGGCAACTGTGATCTTATGCCATTTCCCCTAAAAAAAAAAAAACCTCGCCAGTACAGCAACCCCTAGAGCAGATGATCGCCTTCAAATGGTGGGTCTTAAAGTCTGTGGCAAATTGATTCCTATTCAGATTCCTGTTTGGATCCCCTTCTCATCCTGCTCGATCTGGAAGCATAGAGTGATGAGAATGAGTTGTAATGCACACTGAAAAAGTGGGGAGCACCCAACCCATTTGTGCCTCATCTATCCCTGACATCCCTCTCACTGTCAGTGTTTACATGTAGCAATGCTAAATAAAATATGTCCGTTCCTTTTGACTTTGCTCTTTCTGTGTTCCTGCATTTTGATCATATATAGATTTAATATTCACATTCTGTTGGCATTTTTAGAACTTTTTAATAATTTTCGGTCAGATGAGTGTCAATTCTGTACCATAACTGCTATATGTTACAAACGTTATATTTGCCCTTCAGGAATTGTCAGATATTGTTGTCAAAGCAATATGCCTAATTTAAATGTTTAGTTATCCCTGTACAGCATTCTATACACAAAACTACTGATTTGTTGTAACTGGACATGCAAACTATGCCTATATTCTTTTATATTCTCAATTTAAGAAATCTATATTTTAAGCAAATAAAGCTGTAGTGAAGAGTTGTTTTTTTTCAGTGATCTGACTATGGAAATTGTCCGTTATCGGCTGGTTGGCCCTCTCTCGCATTCTGTCCTCACAGAAGTTCTTCGAGCTGCCCCTCTCCATACGGTAAGGTCAAGAACCAATTTGTTTACTCCTCTCTCATTCTTTAGGCCTCAATCTAACGTTTTCAGGTAAGCTTTTCAAATGACTTTATAGTGTTGGATAAACTTCTAAACTTATTTCATATTTTAATATATATATACATAAATAAAATATACTGTTTGATATTTTGAAAAACATTATTAAAAGTTTTATCCAAAAATATTAAATCAAAGGTTTTGATAGTGGAGTGTTGAGAATTGCACCTAAACCTCATATCGGTTTCAAAACAAAAAGTGTGTCTGTCTTATTCAGTGTAATGGGCAGACTGTGTTTTTAATACAACATATTTCTATTCATATCAGATGACCAGTTAACAGTAATGGAAGTGTATTTAAAAACCATATAATAAGTAAATAACATTAATTGCTCGGCTGCCCCTCTTCATTACCCAACATTCTTTGTACCCTGTATCTAAGTCCATGTATCTTCAAGCTGTATGTTTGTTTATTAACTAGGGAGTGGATGTTCCTGAAGGTGGACCTGATAACTGGTGGCTGGATTTTTGCAGGGACGAAAATAATGTAAATCTGCATAGTCACCAAGAGTCCATGTTCCAGTTGTTGCAAGGTACTTTCACACCACATTTCCTGGAATTTAGAGCAGCTCTGTAAAGTATATGTATCGTTTTGTCAGAACTTCGTGTTGGGTTTAGAACTGGGTTTCATTTAGAGTGATCGTTTTCATTATTACATGCATAGTCACTCGCAGAGGGTAACTGGCAAGCAGACATTAATAGAATCAGTAGGACAAATTCATTTTTTTTCCTGTGAATTCTTAATGACAAATTATTTTAATAAGAGATTTAATATCTATCTCAAAATAATAGATCATTTTAGAAAGTTTGTACAAATGATCTGTTAATGAGATCATCTATTTGGGGTTACATTGAAGTATGTATTTAGAATACGTTCGGTTGTAATCATGAGATGTTTGTTAAGGAAATCTTTCCCGTTGACACACATTCTTTTGGCGTATGACATTGACCTGCTTTTTAGACCACCTACCCATGTTCTCTTTTTCTAAAGCATTAGATTCTCCAGCACAAGTTCCACCTGGTACCATTCTTGGACTTACAGTGGGAGATCCAAGGCTCAACTTACCTAAAAAGAAGACAAAGGCAGTGCCAAATCTAGAAAAATACAAAGGTGAACACCTGATGTTTCTATGAAGTTACATTTTTATTCCAGAGTGTAGGAAAGGGCAGGTGTGCTGCTGCTGGTCTTGTGCTCAATGGGAGCCTCTGTCTTGCAATACAGATGATCCAGGTTCAAATCCTGGGGAGGCCAACTAAGCGGTTTGTGGTTTTAGCGTTGCACTGTGACTTTTTAGCACTATAACCCCTTAATGATACATGCCGGAAATATTCCGTCATGATGCCCTTTTATTCCAGAAGTTGTGTCCTTAAGGGGATAAGCGTATCTTTCTTTATCTTGGAGTTGGTCCTTGTTTAATGTATGTGGCTTAGACCAAGTATAAGTAACAGATGGATTTAGACTTGTTAGTTATGTGTACATTTTTCTAGAATGCAAACCTTGAATTGAGCCTTTCTATTGGTGTGAGGTTCTAATCTTCCATAAATTACACTGATGTAACACATTCTCTGTCTAGCCTGGGACCTCCTCGAACAGTCACAGCCCAGAATGTTGGGACATATTTTCCAGAGGAAGCAATTGACTGTCCTGTGCTCCATGAGGAGATGTTTCTACAATGTGACCTGTTTGTTAATACTGATCAAGAGCAGCTTAGAACCCCTATAGCCAAGTTTATTTTTCATTGTTGATGTTCTGCTTAATCCTTCTTTAGATGGAGAACAAGTCAAATCCTTAAGAATGGATGGCTTCCCGGTGGAATGCACCCAAAGTCTTATTTGGTCTTCTAGTGTACGTTCTAAAGTGACAGACGGGAAGATCTCTGAGCAGGTTATCATTCTACTTTTCTGAATATTTTGCTAGTATCCTGTGAAATTTTGGGTCTGGGCTTAGATGAATTTAGCACCAAACCTGATTTCAGCAGTAAATACTGACCTTTCATTTAGTTATAATTCACATGTAGGCTGTAATAATTATATGTTCCAATGACATATGCTGTGGTATATGATACATTTTTGTTTCTTCTTACAGGAAATTAACCGTTTAAGAAGTGAGTTGCTGGTACCTGGCTCACAGCTTAGCCTGGGGGATAATGAATCAAAGATTCCTGTTCTTTTAATTCAGCAACCTGGCAAGGTCACTGGCACTGAGCGACCGGGCTGGGCGAGTGGCTGGGACATCTGCCTACCCAAAGGATGGGGTATGGCTTTCTGGATCCCTCTTGTAAGTTGGGGATATTCACTAAACTGGGATATTTATTGCCTTTAGAGAGAGAAAAAAAATAAAAATTTAGGCCACAAAGCTGGACTAATAAGGGAGTTGACAATATATTTTCCATTCAGCTAATTTGACTTGAAATGTATAATTCCTTTGTCGTTTCTTCACAATTACCTGTTTAGTTATAAACTCTGTTGGTGACATTTTATATTTTGTTAAATGTCTACACATGGTCTGAATTGCTCAGTTGTTTGACATGTCTATAACCTACGTGTCCCGCATTTCTCTGACCTTCAGGTTTACAGAGGTTTCCGGGTAGGTGGCCTGCAGCAAGATTTGCAGCGTTCACAGTTCATGGGATCTCCATATGTTCCTGGTGACGTCCCTGATTGCCCGGCTGGAATTCAGTCTGCAAAGGAAACAGAAACCTGCTTGCTGGACAAATATAAAAGGTAACATTCTCTCTCTGATTCAACTCTGTGTTTGGCATTAGGGATTTTATTTGGGAACTTTTTTAACTAGCTCAATAATAATAATACTCCTTAGTTGAGAAACAGCTTAAAATGATACACTAATAAAATGTTTCTTTTAGTATAGTCTAAATGTCTTTAAATCACTTATAAACAAAATACAGCCAACAGAGTTAATGTAATTGTAATATCTGAATGTTTTTTTTCTTTCTAAATAGCTCTCATCCTGCTATTTTATGGCATTGCTTTCATTCTTAAAAGGGATTTAAACTAATGAGGATGTGAACACAATATATCAACAAGAGGTTTCTGATTTAACTGGGCACGCTGTCCACCAGAACAAGTAACTCATTGTAGTGTAGTGGTTATGGTGCTAAGAGTTTACAGCCAGGTAGCCAGTAGCCATTGGTGAATGTTTGGTGACATGACTTAACAATAAAATGACATATTGGAAATACTATTGAATACTATGATATTGAGAGATATATATATATATATATATATATATATATATATATATATATATATATATATATATATATATATATATATACTTTTTGTTTGTGGTATGTTTATTCCTCATTCTCGGGTACTCTATCAGCACAGTATCTTAGCTGTTCCTAGAACTGCACTCTTCTGGACAGCGATCTCAGATGTACCACCTGGAGTCTGCTGAAGTCACTCCCCTAACCATATATAGAAGCAAAAACCAAAAAGGTTATGGTGGGATATATATAGTATGTATGTATGTATGTATGTGTGTGTGTGTGTATATATGTATGTATGTATATATATATATATATATGTGTTTTTTGCACTCCAGCTTTCCTCCATATTTTTGCCCGGTGCTCAGCTGCACAAAAATACAACTTCAATAGAAGAGCCACCACTCAAGGACTTGTGCTGCCATTTTAATAATTGCAGTTGACATAGATGATGCCAAGAGCCTCTGCTAATCTTGGGCAGAACTTGAACATACAGTAAACCCCTGAATCTTGACACTACCCAAAAACACTATTCTAAACATTATCCTCAACACTACCCTAACACACCACCCTAAACATTGTCCTCGACACTACCCTAACAGACCACCCTAAACATTGTCCTCGACACTACCCTAACACACCACCCTAAACATTGTCCTCGACACTACCCTAACACGCCACACTAAACATTATCCTCGACACTACCCTAACACACCACCCTAAATATTATCCTCGACACTACCCTAACACGCCACACTAAACATTATCCTCGACACAACCCTAACACGCCACACTAAACATTATCCTCGACACTACCCTAACACGCCACACTAAACATTATCCTCGACACTACCCTAACACGCCACCCTAAACATTAACCTCGACACTACCCTAACACGCCACCCTAAACATTATCCTCGACACTACCCTAACACGCCACACTAAACATTATCCTCGACACTACCCTAACACGCCACACTAAACATTATCCTCGACACTACCCTAACACTCCACACTAAACATTATCCTCGACACTACCCTAACACGCCACCCTAAACATTAACCTCGACACTACCCTAACACGCCACCCTAAACATTATCCTCAACACTACCCTAACACACCACCTAAACATTATCATCGACACTACCCTAACACGCCACCCTAAACATTATCCTCGACACTACCCTAACACGCCACACTAAACATTAACCTCGACACTACCCTAACACACCACACTAAACATTATCCTCGACACTACCCTAACACACCACACTAAACATTATCCTCGACACTACCCTAACAATCTACAGTAAAGATTTTTTTTTTTTACTTGTTATTTAGTTTAATGTCGATGTGAAATACGATCTTTAAAACCTGTAAAATTGCTGAACCCAACTGCCTAGGTAAATTGGGCTGTTGAATCTGCAGAGCCACCTAGTGGCAAAGATCTGCATGCTACGGTAGCCCTACGTTTGATAAAATTCAGAATGCTTGAAATTTCTTCCTCATTATTAAAAATCTACTTATATACAATTGCATTTGTTTTCCCATGTTAGGCGTCCACCTGCAAAGAGAACAAACTTCATTAAGCATGGAATTCTTGCTCCTTTTCGATGTCCTTGGGAACAGCTAACAAGAGAATGGGAGATCCGAGCCAGAACTGACAAAGAATCAATTGGACGTACAGAGGAAAATACTGACAGAGAGGAAACGAAAGAGATAGCGTCCGAGGCTGCAGAACCAGTAGAAGAACATGGAGTCCAGACTTGTCCTTCCAGTGCTGAAAACGAGCCAGTTGTAAAGTCCGAAGAAAAATGTGGAGATGGATTCCTTGTACTAAGGTTTGTTATGGGTTTAAAAAAAAAAAAAAAATCTTTAATTCTCCGACTCGCTATGTTTAACAAGTTTGTTGATGACTTCGCCGCTTAATTATTAACCCCCTGAGTAGTGTACTGAGAACTCTGAACTCTTTGATATGGCGCACACGGAGTTAAAATATAATGGGGTATATTTACTAATGTTAATATGTGTACAAGACTTATAATTAAGATATACTGTCACTAGATGTTTGTTTGTAAAATATAATATAAACATGTTCAAATACTACTAGAATTTATACCATATATTGCTTATTTTTGGCTTCCTGTTTTTGGATAGTTAGCAGTATGTGTCATATACTGTAATTACGTGTACAAATCTACACCTTTTTGTCATGCAGCCGGGCGCCTCCGTCTTAGTTCCCTGTCTATTATTGTTATAAGCTTTGTCCTTTGCACCGGTTAGTCAGCACTGCTAAAAAGACACATTGTTTCCATCTCTCCTTTTAATATGCAATGTTTGCCCTGGCTGTGCCTTGTCTGAACTAGATTACAATGCAATTTGGTAAATCTTTAATAAATATGTAAAAAATAAAAACATAGAATGTCATAAAGTTAACACAAGCTATAGGTGATTCTCAGTCCGTGTAAAATCCAGAGAACTGACATTTCCCCTTTTAAAATGTGGAATTCCCTGATCAGTTTCCCGGTTTGTAGGGTTATTCACTAAATTGAAATGTGTGAGAATGTGCTGCTTTTAAGCAAAATTAGCTGAATTGAAAAAAAATAAAAATAATCTTTTTAGTGAAGATTTGTTTTTGGCTAAAATTTGAAAATCCCTTGGAATTTTCAACAGTTTACATTTTAGTTAGTGAATAACCCAAAGCGTTTAATACCAGTAAATGTGTCTCTTAAGACATTAATATTTTATCTCTTTCTAAATCTTTAGATCTGACACGTTAGATATTTTTCTTGCTTTTTCTCTCTCTTCAAATAGATATTGCTATCTCTCCAAGTAAATGTAGCTACAATGTTTGCATACATGTCAAATTAACTTTATTTAAAATGTATGGTATATTTTAGAGACAAGAAGCTCCTGTACAAGCTGTCTGCATACTGTTCTTCATTTCTCCGAGGTGCAAGAGGTTGCCAGTCTATAAAAGCCACAACGCATGAATTGGCAAGTACGATTAACCCAATTCTGAAAAACTTCCCAAGGTCACTAGTTTGGGTTAGACTGTCCATGTTGACTAAAGGTAGTCCAGAGCTACATGCTCTTATCAGCATTCCATCAGACCAGGACTTACTGCAGATGAGCAAAGATAAGTCTTTCCCTGGCCCCCAGGAGCCCAAACACAGTGATTCTTTCAAGAACAAGGTAGTGAAACTTAAAAAGGAGAGGATGAAAGAGAAGGCTAAAAAAAAAGCTTGTTCTTCAAAAGACAAAGAGGATTCTGAGAAAATCATAACAAGCGAACAGGCTTTGCAAAACGATGACCTGGTGCTTGGCTTGTGGCCTGATCCATTACCTGAGCTCACCACACACTGTAACAGAGTTCTCATTGGGTTTGTAACACAAGGGAACTTTTCCTTGACTGTTGGTTGTGGTGAAGCATTAGGGTTTGTCAGCTTAACAGGACTTGCGCATTTGCTTTCATGTCAGCCCGCAGATAGGAGAGGGCTTGTATTAATAAGAAATCCATCCTCCCTACAGCACCGATTTGCGAAGCTCTTAATTGATATGTAAAATCTCCAAAGAAAGGGGGTAATGAGCATGATTTATTTAATGGGTCCTCCCACTGATGACATCATGCAGCCTGGAATATATAGCTTTTTTACGGGTGAGAGGTGCCTGGTTCTTTGCCTAGTGATCTTGCGGTTCTGGATCCACCAGGCACAAATCCATTTTTTCCTAACTCCCTTCCTGTGCCATTACATATAAAAGGATTGAATTTTTGTCTGTAATAAAAAGTGTTCATTTTATATGAGTTTTGAATGATACAGATCTCCTGCTTACCTCGTGTCAGATAATTTGATGGAGCTGGGATAGTAGCATGCAGGACTTGTGAGTGATCAGAAGTGCAGACGCATATTTCACACCAGTGGTAACAATCGCCATCTTATATGAAGCTTCTCACGTAGCAAAGTACTTTACTGGCACAGGGAACATGTGTATGCCAGCCCACATTCCAAGAAGCAACTATTGAGATTACAACTCCCATTATCCCTTAAGCCAAAACTGGAGGGACTCCGTTTTCACAACCGTGACCGAGAACAAACTAATGCAGTTTGTTTTGTATAGAAAATGCTTAAATATTGTATAAAATATAACTTAAACTATTTTCTTTTCACATGTTTTGAAAGATGCTGAATTTTTTTATGTTTATTAATGGAGATATATATATGAATGCAAATAATTCAAATATTACTAAATATTATAATGTTTGGGTTAACTTTTCTGTTTTATTTTCAATAAAGCCATTTACATGCACAGCAATATTCCTGTTACACATATGCTTTTTATTTACCTTTGTTAATGGGAGGAGGATAATAACGTCTTATATCCTGTGTAATCAGTGTTTGCTATTATTATATCCTTTTTTACTGGTAATTACTCAAGCACCCTAGTGTGTTTTTGTCTGTGTGTACAAATATATATCTCAGTAAACTAGAATTGTGATACTAAAAGTGACATTATCTTACAATTCATCCCTGATCAGGATTTAACATTCCCTTTTGTCCACTCGCTATTGATAAATGGAATTTGAAACCCTTGGATGGGGGAAAACAAACTTTTGTTTAGTGCCACCTTTCTTTACTGTATCTTTTGAAATCTAACACAGCAAGGCACATTTCTGGGAGTGCAACACAGACTTGTCTTCCTGCCTTTTCTTACATCTCAGCACTATATTCGAAATGCAGTGTTATTACACATTGTCTGTACTGTATTACACAGCAAGTGATGAGCTGTAAAGAAGAGCGGAGACTGGTGCCTGCAGCAGGGGGAGCACCGGCCGCTTCTGTTCTGCACCAGGAAATGAGGAAATGTAACAGATTGGAGAGCTGCCTGCATTGCGAATCAAGCACAGCGTGACGTCCTGAGTGCTGGGGAGTTTGCGTATCTAATACAAACAAGCAGTCTATTTCATTTAATTTAATTTTTTTTACTTATGTGAACCTCCATCTACAGTAGTGGTTCCTATTTTGTCACACTACGTTAGCCTGGTAACCCTTTCTTCAACTGAAAATATAACATGTAAAAGAAAAAACTGCTTAATGTGAAAATAGTGTAGATTGTACTCAGGAAGGAAGTGTCACTGCAGACTGTAATTAAGGACAGTTGCATTTAACCCTGATAAATCTGATGTCCCTGTTCTAATAATTGGATTTCATCTGAGTCAGCATGCGGATCCAATTTTAGTCTGGATTTATTTCTTTAGAACCTCACAGTTCTATGATATTGTTAGTGACCAAAGTCCATCTTCATTGTGGGGTTTATTCCCTAAACTCTGAATTGTAAATTAAAACCATAATTGCAATATTTAGAGCTAGAATTTCCAAGTTATGACTGTAGCATAGTTGGATTTTTAATAATTCTTTTTTTTTGGTAGTGCAGGTGGTAGGTTACAGGTTATGCATGGCATAACGAGGAAATTCGATCAAGCGGTGAGACATTACCATATCATACATTCCATTTTCATATAAGAAAACATTAACATCCTGCACCATTTTTATTTTAAAAGGTCACGTCCGTCTATTCTATTGGTAGGCCATATGGGGTGGTTATCTGTATTTACTCTATTGCGGGGTTTAATCACACCTTAATTATTAAGTGTACTACGCCCTCTACTTGCATCTGAGTTTACTTAGGCACGGTTATATTTGAGGGTTAGGAGGATACTGTCGTTCCTCTGGCTGTGGTCTCCTATGTGTGTTATGTCTAGCTGGCTTAAGGGGTGAGGGTAAATCCATGCCGCTTTCTATGGGGCTAGTCATATATAGAAAAGGGCAAGTGTCAGCCCCTTACCTGAGGGGGTCACGGGAGAGGGAGGGTTGTCGAGTCCGGAGTACGTAGGACTGAGTATTGTGAAGTGCCGTACTGCTCTTGTAAATGTAGTGAGGCATAATAAGTGGGCCCCTGGCTACTTAAGTACGTCAAGATGGTCAACGAAAAACAGCAACGCATATGAACAAAATATAATAAACATCATGAACATAACTATGGCTGACATGTATTAGATAAGATGTTATTAGGAATGGCAATTGAGCCCGGAGGCTCTGCATCAGTGCTGCTCAGGTCACCGCTGTTTTCCTGGAGGCACCTTTGGGAGTAAACGGGTCAGATCTCCTTGGCTCCCATATGTGGGCTGTGGAGGTGGTAGGTGCCTCTTGAACTCTAGTCTGATAAAAGATTCCCAGAGCCTGCAAAAAAGCTGGAGCTTCCAAGTTGGAGGTGAGCTTTAGGGTAGTGTCCTGGTAGGTCACTGCTAGAGTTTTTGGCATCAGCCGCAATAGTCCACTTTTGCTTGTTGAAGTTGTGTGGTTACGGTGCTCAGTGACTTTCTCCATTGCAGTGTATTACTTGTGATGTCTTGGAAAAAAGTGAGCCTGGACGACTCAAAGTCCAGTGGGGTCTTGTCTCTGACTGCTGTGAGAACGCAACGTTTGTCTAGAGTTAGAGTGACAGCGGACAATTACATCTCGTGGGGCCATAGCTGGCGCCTGTTTTGCTTTATTGAAATGGAAATGCCCTTCGAATTTGACTTTCTTGGCCTGGGTGTAAAGCAGCAGCGTTGCCAATAGCCTCCGTAGATAGTGAGGTAATTCGGTAGGACCCACAGAGTCCGGTATTCCCTGGAATTTTATGTTCGTCCGCTGGTTGCGGTCCTCTAGCATGTCTAATTTGAGCTGAAGTGCTGAGTTAGTGGCTTGCAGTTGGTGCAGAGTATCACTCACAGTTTTCATTTCTTGGCAAATGTCCATGACATCCTCCTCTGTAGCCTGGACTCTTTGTGACATCGCTTGAATTTCTGTGTGCGCCAGATTCATGTCAGCCTCAAACATCATCTTAATTTATTTTATTACCTGCCTTATGTCTCGCTTTGTGGGTGGTGCTAGGTCAACCAGCTCTGGAGGTGGCTGGGTGTGATGGGATCTGTCCCGCTGTGCTCAGCACTGGTCTGGGGGCCGTTGTAACAGGGACCCTATATCCCGAGTATCTTTGGAAGTCCAGGCTTGGGACTTTTTTTTTTTTTCAGCATGCAGGGGCCACTCTGGCATCGATTGGAGACCACACACAAGTTCCAGGCTCCTTTCTGAATGTTGCGGGACAGCCTCTACCAGCAGCGGTGTAAAGTAGTCCCGGGTCCTGCAGCAGGTTTTCTTGCCCTTTGGGGTGTATAAAAAAGGGGCATTGGCTTGTAGCCCTTGGTGCCAGGGTGATGGGGCACACAGTTGTTAGCCTGGTGCCTAGTGGGACCGTGGATGTCGGCAGATTGTGCTTTGGTAATCAGGAGCACTGCAGGGTAGCATTCATGCAGTTCAGTGGCTCGGCTCCGCCCCCCGGAGAGTTTTTAAATAAACCAAGTTTTGACAATTTTGTCATTACAGTTTTTAACATAGTGAATAACATTCTCCATCTACATAACACTGTTACTTTTCCGTTCACAAAGGATGGTTTAAACCTTTTTAGTTTAGAAAAATGTCGCCTGAGAGGGGATATGATAACATTATACAAATATATTCGGGGCAAATACAAACTATTGTGTGGAAATCTGTTCACAAACCGGACTTTACATAGGACATGAGGCCATGCGTTTAGACTGGAAGAAAGAAGATTTCGTCTAAGGCAAAGGAAAGGTTTTTTTACTGTAAGAACAATCAGGATGTGGAATTCTCTGCCTGAAGAAGTGGTTTTATCAGAGTCCATACAGATGTTCAAACGGCTACTAGATGCATACTTGCAAGAACAGAATATTCAAGGATATACTCTTTCAATGCAGGGTAATAACTGCTTGATCCAAGGATAAATCGGACTGCCATTCTGGGGTCAAGAAGGAATTTTTTTTCCTAGCTTGTTGCAAAATTGTGCTTAAACTGGTTTTTTTTTTGCCTTATTTTGGATCAACAGCAAAAAACAAATGTGAGGTAGGCTGAACTTGATGGACGCAAGTCTCTTTTCAGCTATGTAACTGTAATAAGGTACCATAATCCTCCTTTGCATTGTATAGGAGTGTTATAGCCATTTATCCACCCAATATAGCACTTCCAGTTTTCACAGCCAGTGGTACAACTCATCAAGATCTGTTTATAGAAGCTAAATGTGTATATCGTACATTCTGGTTGTAATTTCTTTTAGGGAAACATCTCCATAACCTTGCATTCTTATTTTCATTTGATGCTTTGTTTTCCCTCAAATGTATATTAAAGGGACACTATATTCACCAAAACAACTACAGCTTATTGCATTTGTTCTGGTGAGTATAATCATTCCTTTCAGGCTTTTTGCAGTAAACACAGTTTTTTTAGGAGAAAATGCAATGTTTACATTACAGCCTAGGGATGGCTGCTAGAGGTGCTGCCTAGTGTGCAGCACTGACATTCAGTGTCTCTACCCTCTGCATGCAGACACTGAGCTTTCCTCAAAGAGGTGCATTGATTCAATTCATCTCTATGAGGAGATGCTGATTGGCCAGGGCTATGTTTGAATCATGCTGGCTCTGCCCCTGATCTGCCTCTTTGTCAGTCTCAGCCAATCCTATGGGGAAGCATTGTGAATCACTTCTGATGATGTCAGCCAAGCTGACCGATCAGGGGCAGAGGTAGCAGCTGTAGACTTGAATACAAGTAAGATTTTACTATATTTAGGAAGGCAGTGGGGGGCTAAATGGTGTTTTCAGCACTATAGGGTCAGAAATACGTTTGTGTTCCTGACCCTATAGTCTTCCTTTATGCACACACAATGGAGGAGAGGAAAAATAAAAGTGGGGCAATCACCATGGAAACCACTAGAATCAGAAGCCTTATTCCATTGATAATATCTCCTCTTTTAGATTTTGCACAACTTTTTAGAACTGAGAATTTTGATAAAGCCCCCCCATGGTTTCCTTTACTTTTCTTTATGCCGATCGGTGAGAGCAAAGCTGAGGAGTCAAGATGTATCGCTGAGTTACTGAGATGCAGCTAAATAGAGAGGTGTTAAATATCAGGAAAAGGAATCCTGAAAAATGGTACTTCACCTTTAAATGAATACAGAGGAGTCCATTAAAGCCAAAAGCGTCAGTTACAAGTTTCGTTCTCAGGAAGCCGCTGTTGAAACATGCTAAAGAGATTTGACAAACTCTCTTTTTCTGTATAAATGAGAAATCCACTTTAAACGGATGCCAAACGCTGCTAATTTAAACCTTACTGTCTAAGGTAAACACAAAAGTATGTGGAACTGTTTTTGGGCAGAAGCCTTGGAGTGTATCACATTTCATT